AAAACATGAGGCTGGAAGTTTATGGGTTTCTAGAAAGACAGAATTTGCCTTTTAGAACATTTCTAAGTGAATACATTCAACCTCCAAGGAGTTCAATGCCAGCAGCCCCAGGCCTGCAGAATTCCTCCTGAACTGGCCCCAGAATCCTCCAATTCCCTCTGGCACAGAGCAGGAGCTCCCCAATTCCCACAGAACACAGAAGGCTGTTCTTCCCAAAGAGGGGCAGTGGGAGCAGCTCTGGTGGCAGTGCCACATTGAGCTCTGGCTGTGACAGGCTGAGAAGAGCTCTGGTGGCAGTGCCACATTGAGCACTGGCTGTGACAGGATGGAGACAGCTCTGGCAGGCTGAGGGCAGTTTTGGTGGCAGTGCCACACCAAACTCTGGCTCTGATAGGCTGGGGACAGCTCTGGCAGGCTGATGACAGCTCTGGTGGCAGTGCCACATCAAGCACTGGCTGTGACAGGCTGGGGACAGGCTGGAGCAGGGGCTGATGACAGCTCTGGTGGCAGTGCCACACTGAGCACTGGCTGTGACAGGTTGGGGACAGCTCTGGCAGACTGAGGGCAGTTTTGGTGCCAGTGTCACACGGAGCACTGGCTGTGACAGGCTTGGGACAGGCTGAGGCCATGGGGACAGCTGAGCCCTGCAGCCCCCAGGGCAATCAGCTGAATGAAACGCTGAGCTCACTGTTAAATAAGAACTTTCCACACCATCAGGTGCCAGGGGAGCTGAAACTGGGGCAGAGGGCACAGAGGGGACGTGTCACCACGTTCTCCTCAGCTTACCTACACACATGGCTCTGTCCCAGGCTGCCAGCACAGCCAGCACTCCATGCTGGCTCTGGCAGGTGACAGCAGTGCTGGGACACCCGAATGCCACTCTGTCACTGCCAGGCTGTCACTGCTCCCTGTCACTTTACTGGCCCTGTACCACCAGCAGGGACAGACACAGCAGGCCCAGGGGGGTTGGGATGTAAAATTCAGCAGGCGGCACCCACAGCTGTCCTTGACCAACACAAGGTGTGACAGGAAGGAAAGGGACACAGGGTCCTACCTTGATGTCATTGTCGATGCCTCCAGAGATGATCTGGTCACTGGTGTCATTGAAGGTGACAGCCAGGACCTGGTAGGTGTTCTGGAATGTCTGGACAGCAGCTTTTTTCCTGATATCCCACAGCTGGAAAGAAACGTGGTACTTGTAAGAGGTGGGCACAGACATTTAACAATAAAAACACTGCAGAGATATTGGCAGAGACTCAGCCTGTTCTCCTGAAATCCCTTTGTAGGTCTCATAAAAAACATCAGATCTGGAGATCTTTATAAAAAACATTGAATCTGCTGTGTTTAGAGCACAGGAATGAATGGAGGGAAGAAGAGGCCAGCACAGATTTCAGGAGAGGGAAAAAGGAATCAGTACAGGAGATTACAGGAGAAAGAAAAAGGGGCCAGCCCAGATTTCAGGAATAGTTTTCACATGCTTTGCTAATCCAGAAAGAAACTCTGATTTCTAACCAGAAAGAATTCCTTGGGCACCCCCAGGGATGGGCACTCCAAACCTCCCTGGGCAGCCCCTGCCAAGGCTGATCCCCCTTTCCATGGGGAAATTCCTGCTGTGCCCACCCTGAGCCTGCCCTGGCCCAGCCTGAGGCCATTCCCTCTCCTCCTGTCCCTGTTCTCTGGGAGCAGAGTCCAACGCCCCCTGGCTGTCCCCTCCTGTCAGGAGTTGTGCAGATCCAGAGCAGCAGAAAAATCCCAGCTGAGCAGCTCAACCTCCCCCACCCCCCGAGAAGTCGAGTTTTGACTCCGAACTCAGAGCGATAATGCAACGAGTAAGAAAAAGCTGAAATCAGCCCAGCTAAATGGGAAGATCCTAAAACATTTCCACCTCTTTCCCCAGGTTTTGCCCAGGGCACACGCTGACCTTGACCGTGCCATCGTCGCTGCCGGTGCAGACGAGCTGGGGTCCCCTCCGGGCAGGGTAGCAGGAGTTGACAAAGGACGTGTGGCCCTTGAGCCTCTTGACCCTCTCGCCCGTCTCGCTGTCCCACACAGCCACGGTTTTGTCCGTGGATGCTGAGAAGAGCATGCTGCAGGCAACAAGCACAGTGAGGGCTCAGCTCCCTTCCCATCGCTCTTTCAGGAGTAACCAGGGGGAGAAGAACCTCCCCCTTTGGTGTTTTGGAGGAGCCTGAAACACTGACACTGGAACAGCTGCACAGACAAACTTCCCTTAATCCCTGCTAGAAATTGTTTTTCTGCCTCCTCAAGCAGCATCTGGGATGAGCACAGCCCAACAAAGCTCAGCAGCAATGGTGGAACAGCCTTGGAAATTAACCAGTTGTTGTCTCTCTTCCGCCCCAGTGACACCCAGGCACCCAACACAAACGTCCCTCTGGGCCCCAAAACTGCATCAATGGCACTGGGGGCTCACAGGTGCCCCCAGACCCTCTGCCCACACTACAAGGACCTGGTGTCCATGGACTGAGCAAGGGCAACAATCCCAGAATCACTGAGGTGAGAAAAGAGCTCCAAGGTCATCAAGTCCAAGCTGTGCCTGATCCCCAAGTTGTCTCCAGTCTAGAGCTCCGAGTGCCACATCCAGGAATTCCTGGGACACCCCCAGGGGTGGGTGAGCTGCAGGGAGCCCCTGCCCTCACCTGCCATCCGTGTTGTAGTGCAGCTCCATGACAGCCCCGCTGTGTCCCTTCAGGGTGGCAAAGTTGTCACAGTCCCCGTAGACGTTCCAGAGCACTGGGGGACACCAAGGGACAGGTGAGCACAGGAGAGGCACAGGAGCAGCCCGTGCTGTGCATGGAGCTGATCTCTGGGGTTTCAGCAAAGTGCAGGATGGACCATCCCCACTGCTGAGTCCAGCTGGGACAATTCCCAGCAGTGACAAAGCATCAGGTGAGCCCCAGGGCAGAGGAGCTTCAGGGATCTTGGTTAAGGTGAATTTACTAAGAAAAAAAATCTTTGCTTCAGCAAGCCTAAGCATTAAAAACTGCATTTCTGCAGAACTTGGAAGCCGTGTGACAGGGATACAGGGCTGTCACAGCTTGCACCAGTGGAAGACAGAGACTGCCACAGACACAGGAAAGTTTGATTTGCAGCCTTGGAAGGGGCTTGGATTGATGTGAAAATAAAAGATGCAGAAATTAAAAAGAAAAATCATAAACTTATGCTTCTGTAGTTATAAATACGAATATGCCTTAAGTGTCAAACTGTACTGATAAGATGGTGGAGGGTTTACAATGTAAGGGTGTAATTGTATAGAATAAGTTTAATGTTATAACAGAAGCATATGTGTGTACATGTCATAACAGCCTATTGGTTAAAAGCAACCACATTGCAGTAAAAGTAAAGGTGGCAGGTTAGAAAAGCCAAATGCACTCTGTGGTGACTGTACACAAGGTTAGAAAGTGAAATACTGCCTTGCAACAAAGAACTTGTGACTATCTTGAGCTACGGCCACTGCTTGCTGTCTCAAAATCCCACAACCTCTGGGGCAGATATTTATTTAAATAATAAAATTTCTTTTACCCAGTTTTACTCCCATCCCTTCAATTTATGTAACAATAACACCAGCAAGGCACATTTCCAGCACAACCAGGATGGCACCTCCCTGAGGAGCTGGGAAAAGCTTCCTGGGGAAACTCAGGTGAGGAAAGCCAGGTGAGGGCTGAGCTAAAACCCCTCAGCAGCAGGGCCTGAGCCCGGGGGACAGCAGGGGACATCAGTGCCACTCACAGATGAGCCTGTCGAAGCCAGCTGAGGCCAGGGTGTTGCCATTGGGATGGAACTTGCAGCAGTAAACCTCCCCCTCGTGTCCTGACAGCAGCATGATGGGGGCCTGCAGCGAGGAGCAGCGCGGGGGGCCCTGGGGACACAGGGGACACAGTCAGGGGACAAGGGACAAGGCCAGGGGATGGCCAGCCTGCCACCCCTGTTGTGCATCTTCACCTTCCCACAGCACATCCCACCAGAATTCCAGAACCCCAGCATTACTGAGGCTTGAAAAGAGCTCCAAGATCATCGAGTCCCAGCTGTGCCTGGTCCCCCTCTTGTCCCCAGCCCAGAGCTCTGAGTGCCACATCCAGGGATTCCTGGGACACCCCCAATCCCGCCTTGTCCCCAGCCCAGAGCTCTGACTGCCACATCCAGGAATTCCTGGGACACCTCCAGGGATGGGCACCAAACCCCCCCGGGCAGCCCCTGCCAAGGCCTGAGCACCCTTTCCATGCAGACATTTTCCCCCAATACGCAAAAATGGAATTTTAAGGACTTTCAGAGCTCCTTTTCTGTTGGTGTGAGGAGTTTGGAGCTGTGGGGGAACAGCTCCAAATGCTCCCTGCCAGAAGGGGCTGGGGCAGGGAAGCCCACTGCACGGACCCGCTCCAGCCCCATCGGAACCGAGGGGCCCAGACCCGCACGCAGCGCAGGAGGTGCCTCAGCAGTGCCCAGCTCCAACACCCTCATGGCCATTCCCTCCCACTGGAGCCACCCCCGGCCCTCTCCCCTCACCCCTCCATCCCACCCGGCTCTCCTCCCACGCTCCCCTCACGTTCCCCCGTTACCGCCTGCAGCAGAGCTCCGGCCGCAGGCTGCCCCCCTGCGCCGCCCGTGCCCGGCGCCCCCGGCAGGTCATGGCGGGGCCGCTTGGCGGGCACGGGGACGAGCGGGAGGTCGGGGCCGGGCGCGGGAGCGGCGCCGGGGCCAGGCCCGGGGCCCGGGACCTTCCGCTTCTGCTGCTCGATCATGGCGGGCGCCTGGCCCCGCCCCTCGCACCCCATTGGCTGTCGGCTCCATGCACGCCACGCTGATTGGTCGAGCGCCGTGGATGTCCCGCCCATCGACACCGTGCCGGCGCGCCGAGAGTACAGCGGAGAGATCGGCGCCTTCTGGCGCGCCTCGCTCTGATTGGGGGAGAGAGGGCGCTGGGTAGCATGGGTAACGCTAATTGGCTGTTGGCCGGCACACGGCAACAGCGCGCGCTGTGATTGGCGGGGAGCGCGGCCTCTCAGCGTGAGCGGCAATGGCGGCGCGCTGGTGTTGCTGCCGCGGGCCCTGACGAGTCCCCACCGCCCCGCGGGCTCGGGAGGAGCCGTCCTGTCTGACCGCGCTGCTCGGGTCAGTCCTGCACTGGGCACTGCGGCTGCCGCTCGGGTCCCTGCCCGGGTCAGTCCTGCACCGGGCACTGCGGCTGCCGCTCGGGTCCCTGCCCGCGCTGCTCAAGCCGCTGAGCCCCGAGGGCTCTCTGGGGGTTTTCGGGCGTTAATGAAATGTTTCTTTTCTCAGCATCCCGGGGGAGATGCGGTAGCGTGGGGTGGATCCCGCTGGCTGTCACGGCACCCAGGGACGCCATGGAGCCGCTCCCCGAGCTCTACTCCATCTTCCAGGGCGAGGTGCGGAGCGGCCGGGGCCGGGCTCTGCGTGAATTCGTTCTCTTGGTTCAGGCGGGGTCAGCTCAGGGCAGGTGTGGGCGGCGGCCAGCTCCGTACAGCTGCACACACCTGCGGCCCTGCGGCTGCTGTTCGTGTGGGGGCAGCCGGAGAGGGGAGAATTCTGTCCCCCTGCCCCACTCAGGTGATTCCCCACCTGCAGAGCTCGGAACTCCAACAGCAGCAGCACCTGGAGCTGGTGGAGAGAGCCCAGAGGAACCCCCGGAGCTGCTGCAGGGCTGGAGCCGCTCTGGAGCCAGGCTGGGAGAGCTGGGGGTGCTCCCCTGGAGAGGAGAAGGCTCCAGGGAGAGCTCAGAGCCCTTGCAGGGCCTGAAGGGGCTCCAGGAGAGCTGCAGAGGGACTGGGGAAAAGGATGGAGGGACAGGACACAGGGAATGGCTCCCACTGCCAGAGGGCAGGGCTGGATGGGATCTTGGCAATTGGGAATTGTTTCCTGGCAGGCTGGGGAGGGGCTGGGCTGGAATTGGCAGAGCAGCTGTGGCTGCCCCTGGATCCCTGGCAGTGCCCAAGGCCAGGCTGGACATTGGGGCTGGGAGCACCTGGGACAGGGGGAGGTGTCCCTGGGGTGGCACTGGGTGGGATTCCAGGTCCCTCCAACCCAACCCCTTCCCTGATTCTGTGCCAGTCTCCAGGTCAGTGAGCTGGGCAGGTTTGTTGTGCAGATCCTCCCCTCTTGGGAAGGGATTTCCTCCAGCTCTCCTCTGGGTTTTCTCCCCAGGTTGCTGCAGTGACAGACTATGGGGCCTTTATCAAAATCCCAGGCTGCAGGAAACAAGGTTGGTGTCTGTGAGATTTTTTTCGTTGTTGGTGTGGCCAAGGCAAGCAGCCAGCTCAGAATTAAAGGCTGTCAGAAAAAAATCAGGAAATGAATTTTTCCTAAATTAGGAAGAAATTTGGAAAGCATTTAGAATATGATGGGCTTTTGCATGATTACCATAAAAGACTCAAAGGAGTTTTTGGTAACTTCAGGATATTTGGGGTGGGATTTTGGTAAATTCTGGATATTTTGACGTTTGGTACCTTCAGAATCTTTTAGTGGAGGTTTTGATAACTAAAATAAGAATATTTTAGAGAATCATTTGAAGGTGATAGCAGAACTGTGGAAATTCTGCAGTTTGCCCAATTTCCTCCTTTTAATGGTCAGTGGAAATGAGTGGAGAAAAAAGACTAAAACAATAAAAGAAATGAAACACAATAAATGAATGAAATCCAAAGAAGTGGAAAATGAGCTGTAAGCTGTGTGTGACTGTGGGACAGCTGCATCCCCCAGGAGCCCCTTCCCTGCTCCCTGCAGTATTTTGGGCAGGATTTTGGGGAGGCACAAGGTACCTTGGAGTGGGGCTGGAGCAGCCACCTGCTCCCAGATTGCTCCTCCTGCATGTGAAAAACACCAGTCACTTGTTTTTATATTTGTAAAAGTTTAATAGTAATAAAATGGTTGTAAAAATAGCAATATAATTAGAGTAATAAAATTAGGACAATTAGGATTTGGACTGTAGGAGACAATCACAACAAAGAGTTATGGACTGTCCAGGTACCTCTTTGTGGGCAAAATAAGCCTGAAAGAGGAGACACAGGGGATTTGGGGGGATTGAGGGGGAAATGGGGCAGGAGAAGGGGGATTTTGGGTGAAAAAGGGGAATTTTGGGTGAAACAGGGGGATTTTGGGTGGCAAAGGTTAACAGAGGATTAACCCTTAAGAGCAACAGCCTGTTGCCTGTTCATACACCTCATCCAGAAATTCCATTCAAACACAGGATTCTGTCTGGGCAGTTCAGCTTCTTCCTCTTCTTCAGGGCTGAGGGGGCAGGAAGAAGTTAATTTCTTCTGACAAGGGAGCAGTAAATTCTTTTTCTCTCAGAGATTCAGGTGTCCTGGGGCTGCTGGCTGGTACGAGTACCTCATTCCTCTCTTTAAAAAAAGTGTCTTCCATGGCATGGTTTCTCTTTGAACATTATGTTGTAACCTCCAACTGTGTTTAACACACTACTGCAGAAATAATAGAGCATAACTTTCTAACATAACACATACGATATTCATTTGAATATCTGTGAAAAGCCCAACATAAACCACACATTTTTCACACATTTTTCACGTGCAGAACCCTGCTCTCCACTGGCAGTACCCAAATTCCAGGCCAGCCTGGGGTGGTGGCACCTGCCTCAGCAGTTCAAAAACTGGAGCACCCTCTAAAATACTTCTGTTAATAATATGTTGAGTATAATAATGTTATTAATAATAATATATTGTGACTAAATAGTAAATATATTGTGAATGATATAATACATTTGTGAATAAATATATTATTCGCAAATATATTTATTATTCATAAGTATATTTATTTACTTTATAAATACAGTTATTTTTTATAAATGTATTTCTTACTTGCAGAACCCTGCTCTCCACTGTCAGTACCCAAATTCCCATCCAGTTTGGGGTGGTGTCACCTGTCTCAGCAGTTAAAAAATCAGAACACCTCTAAAATACATCCATTACTGATAAATATATGATTCACAAATACATTTGTTGTTGTTTATTATGCAGAAATATATTTCTTTTTTATAAATATATTTATTAGTTGCAGAACCCTGCTCTCCACTGTTGCTCACCCAAATTCCCATCCAGTTTGGGGTGGTGTCACCTGTCTCAGCAGTTCAAAAACTGAAGCACCCTCCAAAATACATCTACTACTAATAAATAGATTATTCAGAAATGTATTTGTTATTATCTATCATTCCTAAAGATATTTCTTTTTTATAAATATATTTATTAGTTGCAGAACCCTCCTCTCCACAGTCAGTACCCAAATTCCAGTCCAGGCTGGAGTGGTGTCACCTGTCTCAGCAGTTAAATTGGAGCACCCTCCAAAATACATCTATTACTAATAAATATGTTATTCACAAATGTACTTATTATTTATTATTCATAAATATATTTATTATTTATGAATGTGCTTATTATTTATAAATATATTCATTACTTGTACTTATTGTTAATATTTACAGCTTTACTGGTGGTACCTGCATTATAAACAATAATCAAAAAATAGAAATTCAAAATGAGTTAAAGAAATAAAGTTTTAAAAATAAATTAAATTATAATAATAAATGTAAATTTAAAATGAAAAATAAAATATAAATAGCAAATAAATTGAAATAGAGTATAAATATGTAAATATAAATGTAAGTAAATATCCATAAAAATGAATTTAAATTTCACGTTTTTAAAATAATAGTTTTAAAATTATGTTTATTAATGGTATAAAGCCACATTCTTCCCTCACCCCAAAGGATTGTCTGCTCCAAGCCACTTTGGAAACTGCAAATCCGAGGTTCAGTGGAGAAGTGTCTGTACAGAACTCAAAAAAAGGATGAGCAGAGGATGAAACACTAGTCCATTTAAAATTTCACGTACTAATTTATTCATTAAATTTATTAATTAATTTCATTAATTCTAGTATTACATTTCTTAATGAGATTTATGAGTGTTATTATTTTAGTTTATTTTATTACTAATTTAATTTACTTTATTAACTTTATTACTAATTTTATTCTATTAATGTTATTAATTTTACATATTAATTTATTTTTGATTTTATGTATTATTTTATAATTAATTTAATAATTATCTAATAATTATTTTATTAATTTTATTGATTCATTTGTTAACCCTGCACATTCTTCCCATGCCCCTCAGCATTCCCTGCATGCCCTGAGGAGCTGCAGTGTGAGAGCACACCTGGGGCTGTTCCTGTCCCCGCTGTCAGTGTGACAGCACAGCTGGGGCTGTTCCTGTCATGGCTGCCCAGGGGGGCACAGGGCATGGCTGCCCAGGGGGGCACGGGGCATGGCTGCCTAGGGGACACGGGGCACAAGGTGTTCATGCCCAGGGGAGCAGCACGGGGCATGGCTGCCCAGGGGGGCACAGGGCATGGCTGCCCAGGGGGGCACAGGGCATGGCTGCCCAGGGGGGCACTTGTGAACATGTGGAATGTGTTACGGAGATGTGTTTACCAAAGGGTGGTTTCTTAATTAACCAGTGTTGGTGGTGTTTTGATTAGAGGACCAATTAAGTCTGTCTGTATTGTAACTGTCTATAAAAGCAATTGGTTTCTTGAAAAAGACAGATTATTGCTCAGCCTTCTGTGAATCGTGGAATCAATGCTAATTATTACCCGGCCAGGGGACAGGGATGGATGGGATTTTGGGAAGGAATTGTTTGCTGGGAGCTGGGGAGAGGCTGGGATGGAATTCCCAGAGCAGCTGTGCCTGCCCCTGGATCCCTGGAGGTGTCCAGGCCAGGTCAGCTCTGCTCTTTGGGTTTAGAAGGTTTTACTTTGAGAGTGTCCTGGTTTTGCATGGGAGACTGTTGTGGGAAATCCAGGACTCCTGCACAACTGACCAGTGTGATCCAGCAGAAGCCTTTATTGTTCCCATTACACACGCTTTTATAGACTCTGCAAACTACTAAGTACACACTGCTTGGTTGGTGCCTTGTCTTGCTCCCTCGTTTTCTGCCTGCATTTCTCACAGTATGTGATTGGTTACAGTGCAGGTGTTTCACAGCCCTCTGTTATCCAGTTCTTGTGGTCTTGGTATTCGGTTTCTCAGCCTCTTCTTTCTTAATTTGCACAATTTATGTTCCAATAGCCTTGAGGAATCCCTGAGAATTGATAACAAACTCAGAAGCAGGCTGGCTGGTGCCCGCTATGGCCTAGCCCCTGTGAATACATTGCTGTAAGGACTGAATTTTGGTTCCATGTTCCTCCTTTAGAGGAGGGAGTTTTTTATCACTTGCTACAAAACCAAGAGATTTAATTCAAGTCCCTAAAAAAATTTTTTAAAAGTTTATTGCTTAAAATCACAGCACTTTGGGCTACTGGTGAGGGACCAGTGGAGGCCACAAAGATGATGGACTGGAGAGAGTGAGGGAGCTGGGCCTGGTTGCTATGGAGAAGAAAACTGAGAGGGAATCCCATCAATCCACACAAATATCCCCAGGGGGTGTCAGAGGATGGTGCAGCCTCTGCTCAGGGACAGGACAAGAACTGATGGCCAGAAAGTAAATGCCCTCACTGTGAGGAAAAAACTCTATACATGAGGAGTGGCAGAGAACAGGGAGGGAGTGGAGTCTGCCTTTCTGGAGCCATCCCAACCCCCTGGATGTGTCCCTGTGTCACCTGCTCCAGGTGATCTCCAGAGGTTCCTTCAACGCAACCATTCTTGAGATTGGAAAAGAGCTCCAAGAACATCAAGTCCAAGCTGTGCCCCATCCCCACCTTGTCCCCAGCCCAGAGCTCTGAGTGCCACATCCAGGAATTCCTGGGACACTCCCAGGGATGGGCACTCCAAACCTCCCTGGGCAGCCCCTGCCGAGGCCTGATCCCCCTTTCCATGGGGAAATTCCTGCTGTGCCCACCCTGAGCCTGCCCTGGCCCAGCCTGAGGCCGTTCCCTCTCCTCCTGTCCCTGTTCCCTGGAGCACAGCCCGACCCCCCGGCTGTCCCCTCCTGTCAGGAGTTGTGCAGAGCCACAAGGTCCCCCCTGAGCCTCCTTTTCTCCAGGCTGAGCCCCTTCCCAGCTCCCTCAGCCTCTCCTGGGGCTCCAGCCCTGTTCCCTGAGCTGCAGGGAGCCCCTGCCCTCACCTGCCATCCGTGTTGTAGTGCAGCTCCATGACAGCCCCGCTGTGTCCCTTCAGGGTGGCAAAGTTGTCACAGTCCCCGTAGACGTTCCAGAGCACTGGGGGACACCGAGGGACAGGTGAGCACAGGAGAGGCACAGGAGCAGCCCGTGCTGTGCATGGACCTGATCTCTGGGGTTTCAGCAAAGTGCAGGATGGACCATCCCCACTGCTGAGTCCCATTTGAGGTAATTACTCTGATTTTGGTTTTTAAGAAACCTTCAGCAGGTGATCCCACTGTGGACAACCATCAGTGGAAGCTCCAGCTCAGTTGGTGGGACAATGGAGCTGTGTCTTAGAGCTAAAACCCAGTTTGTGCCTGCTGAAATGATGTCCTGCCTGGTTCAGCAGTGTGGAGATGATTTTGTGGTGCCTTTCAGTAGATTTATTCAAGTTGCTGAGGTACAAAGTAGTTTTTTTGTGCAGGAGTTTTTGCTGTGCCCTACTTGTGTTATTTAGAGGAAATGGTTAATGGGGCTCGTGCTGTTCTGGAGGAGGTTAATGCTGAGTGTGGGCTCTGTAGTAGTAGAGAAATAGCCTTAAAATACTATTTTAAAGGATTATTTCTATTTAAAGAACTATTATGTATAAAACATTATTTTAAAGAACCCCAAAAATCAGGATTATGCCTATTTCCAATCTGCTTTTTAATAATGGCATCTCCTCCTAACAGCAAGTGCCAGCTCTCCAAATTTTCCCTGCAGCTCTTAGTAGGTCAGCTTTGATTTCTCCAGAGTAGAAAGGGTAGAACCAGAAGAGCTGAATTTCTCTGTCTTTGTGGCTTTAGCTCATTTTCCAGGTGCCAATCACACCAATTTACCTTTCCTCCATTCTTTTCTGGGCTGATTAAGCCCCTGCAGAGACAGATTTTTACTTGTTGGGACAAGAATATTTTCTCTTTTGCCTAACTAATCCCTCCAGAATGACCTGGGTTATGTTTGTTCCCTGTCCTGTGTAATCAGGGCATGTTCAACCAGCTGAAATTTCAGGATAAAAAACGTCCAGTGTAGATTTTCTCCTTGTGACTGATAATCAAGAGAGCCTTGGCAGCACTTCAGGTGTATGAAATGCATTTGTTAAAAAAAGAACAAAAAAAAGAAAAGGAAAAGGGGCTGGGTTGTTCCCTCAAACACCTTTTTTTTCCAGGTCACTTTGCCAAGGAGTGTTTCATGCAGCCTGGAGGAACCAAATACAGCCTCATTCCAGAGGAGGAGGAAGAGGAGGGGGCAGCAGCAGGACGTGAAGGGGACAAAAAGATCAGCCAGGCTGAGGGGTCTTCAAAAAAGAGGAAGAAGGTACGAGGTGGCCTCTGGCTGGCCTGGAAAAGGAAATGGGGGATGGGGATTTGCTCTGTAGCTACACCTGAGTTACTCCAGCAAGGTGGTGTGAGCTGAGAAGATGCCTCAGTTTTGGGCAGATTCTGTAGCAAAACAGGAACCTCCTCTGCAGATTTCCTATTAATTCTTAGATTTTCTCCTGTTATTGTCAAGTTCCCTTCAAGCTGGTTTTGTGCTACAACACGCAGCCCTGAAAAGATGTTCTTAGAGAAAAAGATGATTGTTGTTGTTCCTGGTCTTTGTGAGGCTCTACAGGCATTGCTTCAGTGTCCTGGATTCCTGTTTTCCTCTTTTCCTGCCCTCACACCCTTCTTTGATCTGGACTCAGTGCCCTGCTGGCTCCAGGGGTATCCTGACCCTGCCAGAGCTGTGGGAATTGGGTTTATCTGCACACTCTGGGGGAAAATCCCTGGCTGTGTTTGCACAGGGAGCATTCCCAGGCTCCAGAGCAATTTCTGTCCCTGTGAAAATGGCACCAGATCAGAGACATTTCCCAGGTTGTGTTTGACCTCTGGCTCGGAGCAGGATGAGATAAAATAAAACACAGGTGAGAGTTGAACCCAAGCCAGGAGCTTTTGGTGGTCAGGTTTATTCAGGGATGAGTATTCACAGAATCCCAGAGGGTTTGAGGTGGAGGAGACCTTAAATCCCATCCCACCCCTGCCATGGTTCCAGGTTGCTCCAAGCCCCATCCAGCCTGACCTGGGACACATCCAGGGGCAGCCACAATCCAGTTCAAGGCTTCAATAAATAAACAAGCTCTTCCATCAGCCCCTTCACAGTCCCACTTTTAATTACTCTTCCAAAATACTTTCTCTGTTTTTTCCCCTCCTTCCAGCTCTGTGGCCTCTCTGTATCCCTGGAGACCGGCAACAGGCAGAAAAGACTCAAGTTATTTAAAAATTTTGGGGAAAAATTACACAAAGAAGTGCACAGACAGCTTGTTATCCTACCCCTGCCCATCCACCAGCATGGGGATTCCCAGTGGAGTCTTGCCCTGATGACACTACAGGAAATTGTGGGTCACTGTCCTGAATTTGTTCCTGATTTTTTTTTTTTTTTGTTTGGTGGATTAATAGCTTTCCTTGAAATCTCACTTGTTCCTTTGATCTCCCTCCCTTCTCAAGGGTGACATCAAAAGTTGTCAGATGTTTTCCAGAGCTGGAATAATAAAACTTGGAGCTTTTTTGGAGGCAGGATGTGGGATCCTGGAGATGAATGGTTCCCTTGTAGTCTGGAGTGCCTGCTGTGCTCTTGTCTGGGAGCCACCATGTGCTTCCCTGCTTGCCTGGAGCTCCAGGGATTCACAGCACGTGGAAATAGCTCCCTGGACTCAGGGACATCTCCTCCTGACCTGTCCCCTCCCATGTGTGACACCAGTGTGGCCCTGAGGTTTTTAAATGAGAGGAGGGAGCTGCCAGCTCCCAAAGGATTCCATCTCCACTGAGTGTCAAAGCAATAAAATTAATATTTGTGATTGTTCAGGATCAGCATTTTGTGCTTTCCTGGATCTGATGTTTCCTTGCAGTTTCTGGGGTTTTTCTCTTCTTCCCAGAGATTCCCCCAGGATCCTCACCCCCCTTTTTTTTGTTCAACTTGCCTTCCCAGTGCTTCCCAGCTCCTGTTTTCCCTCCTGCCTGATTCCCTCAGTATTCCCAGGCTGGAGCTGGATTCGGGAGTGGCACTGGTGTGACAGTGACACATCCTTGGGTGGCAGCACTGAGCCCTGTCCTGTCTCCTGTAATCCCTGAGAAAATGGGTGATGCAGGGAGAAGGAGAGAGGCTGGACCGTGTCCAGGGAAGGGAATGGAGCTGGGAAGGGGCTGGAGAATCCTGAGGGAGCTGGGGAAGGGGCTCAGCCTGAGAAAAGGAGGCTCAGGGGGGCCCTTCTGGCCCTGCACAGCTCCTGACCAGAGGGGACAGCTGAGGGATGCTCCCAGGGAATGAGGGGAGGGGTGAGAGCAAACAGCCTCAGGTTGTGCTGAGGGAGGTTTAGGGCAGCCACTGCTCAGCCCATGGAAGTTAGAAAAAATAGACATGTGAAGGTTTTCCATGTGAGTGCAGCCTGACAGCCCAGTAACATGGCTGCTCTCCCCCATCCTTGTGCCTTCAGCACAAGAGTGTGTAGCTGCTCCCTTGTCCTCTTCCCCAGAACAGGGCAAGATTGCACTGAAGTGCAAAGTAAGAGTCAGCAAACACTGAGCCACTGGTGCAGAATCCCCATGTTTACCCTCCCCTGGAGCAGGAAAGGGCAGGGGGATTGCACCTACTCTGACCCCATCTCTGCTTCAAAGCACTCCTGGCTTCCCTGCCCTCAGCAGTCTGGATGTTTTGAAGATTTATGGAGGTGCTCTCCCCCCTGCCCCCTGACTTTGAAGTTTTTGCTCCCTTGTCTGCTTTTCCCTTTTTATACCCATATCCTATCCAGATATTTGGGAAAATCCCTTCACAAAAAGGGTTGATAGAACTGTCCTGGCAGTGCTGGAGTCCCCACCCCTCCTAAGCCACGTGGATGTGGCACCTGGGGACCTGCTGGTGGTGCTGGGGCCAAGGTTGGACTGGCTGATCTTGGAGGGCTTTTCCAGCCTAAACAATTCCAGGGACGAGCCCTGGAGCTGTCTGGGACAGCTGGGCAGGCCCAGGCTCTGTGTCCCTTCTCCTGGGGTCACAGGGTGAAGGAGCTCCTGTGGGAACAGCAGTGTCCCTGCTGGTCTTGTGTGGGAGGCAGGAGGCTGGGAATGGCTGAGCCCTTCTCATCCTGCTGCCTTTGTCCTCCAAGAAAAAACCTGCAGTGCTGACTGAGGGATAACCCCTTACATTGAAATGCTCCAAGTTTATCCCATCTTCTGCTCACACAACCTCAAATTTGGGGGTTTGGATCCATTTCAGAGTTCCTTATGAGCTTTATTCCACATGGAACAGCTCATTCCTGAGGTGGTTTTGGGTGGCCTTTGGGATTGGGGCTTTTCTATGACTTTGCTGCTTTTTTCTCCACATCGTGGAAGATTCCCAGATCTTCCTGCAGATCTTCATGTTAAAACCACGCCTAAGTATGTTTGTTCTGTGACCTGTGGCTCATCCAGCCTTGGTCCATCCTCAGTTTTACTGGTTTTACTGGTTCTGGCATTAAGAGGCCACAGCCCTTCACACATTGTCTTCATTGAAATGTTTCTGAATCTGGCTGTCTTTATTTACTGGCTCTAAGCTGGGTTCTTCTCCTCAGCTTCATTCTGACTGCTCCTCCAACAAAGGATGCAAGAACACCTTTAGACTGGTGTAATGAATCTTGTTTGGAATGAAATTGGCTGGTGGAATGAGGATAAAGAATAAAATAAAAAAGCCTAGAAGGATTCCTGGCACACCCCTGGGGATGCAGACAGACATTAGGAATCCATTCCAGTTTTTCACAAGGATAAGACACTAAGTCTTGGAATGGGATCTTAACTCCTCAGAAGGGGCTGGTGAAAAATATTTCAACTTCTTGGACAGTCCTGGGCACTCCCCTCTTATCTCAGCCCCAAATACCTTTAGGAGGAATGAGCTGTTGTAACATTTTGAGAGCACAGCCTGGAGCAGTTTCCTCACAAAGGACAGGAGGGAGCCTGGAGTGCTGGAGGGGCCCCTCTTGGAGGAGTTTCTGGAGCAGTAGGGAAGGAATTCCATGAAAACCAACACTCAGGCTCCAGCCCAGCCTGCTGCTGTCCTGCTGGCAGCTCCAGCAGGGGCTTGGAGAGAGATTTTGGAGCACTTTTGTTGGGTTCTGGTGTGCTAATTGCATAGGTGGGGCAGGATGTGCAAGGAAATGTGAAGTGCAGCTCTGTGTGCTGGGAGCCCTCTGCACTGAGAGCTGCTTGGGCCAAATCCTCTCCAAATATTGCCCCTAAATGCAGTGTTTGGAGTGCTGGGTGTGCCCAGAGCTGAGCTGGGTGTGCCAGAGCTGAGCTGAGCCCCATCCAGCAGGGCTGGAGGGCCTTGGCAGCTCAGGGTGTCCCTGCAGGCACAAACCTGGGCAATCCCTGAGCTGCAAACACCCCCTGCACACTGAGTTCCCTGGTGTCCTCAGTGCTGGTCCCCCAGGGCTGGGCTGCTGCATTGAAGGAAAGGTCTGGGGCAGGATGCTGCTCCTGCAGGAGGATTTTGCAGCAGCTCTGCCTCCTGCTACTGAAAATCATAAAACCATGGAGTGGGTTGGGTTGGGTTGGGTTGGGTTGGAAGGACCTTAAATGACATCCAGTGCCACCCCTGCCATAGGCAGGACACCTTGCACTGTCCCAGGCTGCTCCAAAGCCTTTCCAGCCATGGAGCAGCCACATTTTTTCCTCTGGGAATGCTCAGCTCTCCGTGTTTCCTGCTGCACTTCCAGCCCAGGCTGTGCTGATTTGCTGCCCTGGAAGAATCAGAGAATCCTGGAATATCCAGGTTGGAAAAGACACACACAGGGATCACTTAGTTCAGCTCCTGGCCCTGCACAGGACACCCCAAGAACCCCACTGTGTGCCAGAAAAGGGATTTGTCTCTCTTGGAGTGATCTTGGCTGTTAGGAGCTCCCAAAAAGGGGAGAGTGAGGGTTTGTTGATTTTTTTCCAGCCAGCACAATGCCCATGTGTGCTTTTTTGTCCCCTGCTCCATCCCCAGGAGTGTGTGTGACATCCTGTCCTGCCTTCAGCCCTCACATCCTGAGAAAATTTCCCAAGCTTTGGAAGGACCTTAAATGCCATCCAGTGCCACCCCTGCCATGGGCAGGACACCTTGCAGTGTCCCAGGCTGCTCCAAAGCCCTTCCAGCCATGGAGCAGCCACATTTTTTCCTCTGGGAATGCTCAGCTCTCCGTGTTTCCTGCTGCACTTCCAGCCCAGGCTGTGCTGATTTGCTGCCCTGGAAGAATCAGAGAATCCTGGAATATCCAGGTTGGAAAAGACACACACAGGGATCACTTAGTTCAGCTCCTGGCCCTGCACAGGACACCCCAAGAACCCCACTGTGTGCCAGAAAAGGGATTTGTCTCTCTTGGAGTGATCTTGGCTGTTAGGAGCTCCCAAAAAGGGGAGAGTGAGGGTTTGTTGATTTTTTTCCAGCCAGCACAATGCCCATGTGTGCTTTTTTGTCCCCTGCTCCATCCCCAGGAGTGTGTGTGACATCCTGTCCTGCCTTCAGCCCTCACATCCTGAGAAAATTTCCCAAGCTCTGGAATGAAACTCTTGGTTGTGAAGGTCCTGTCAAACTTCCTCACCATGTGCATGGGCTGGAAAAGCTTGAGAAAATTCTCCTTGCTGCATCCCCTTCTCTGGAGGATTTAACTCCTTCCCATCTTCTTAGGACTGGGAGGATTTGCTTCTGCCTTTCCTCTGCGGGTCAGGGACTTTTGGTGAGTCTGTTGTTACCCCACAGGAAAACAGACTCAATTTTGGATGACATTATTTGGTGTTATGGAGCTAAAATGTGCCAAGGGTCTGGTGGGTATGGAGCCACTCCATCCTCTGCTCCCTTCCCTGGGATCCCAAAGGACTCTGCTGGATGCTCAGCTCTGGGTGTTGTCTTTGTTCTTCCAGCTCCCTAAAAAAGTTGTTCTGTTTGATTAAAAATCAGCTGCCAGCTCCTTTCCTTTTTGCCCTGGGTCTGGTGTTTGGACACCCAATCCAGTTTGGGCACCCGTGCTTAAAAGCTGGGTTAGTCAGAACTCTGAGCCGAGCTTGATGGGCCACATTCCTCACTGGGGCTGTCTAAGCCTGTCCCAGAGCTTTGGTCAACTCAGGGGCCATCTCTGCTCCCTGAAACCCTCCTTGGCTTCTCTGCTTGAGTCCTCAAATAGCGCAAAAATTCCTGATCAGCCCCTCTGGAGCCAGGCTGGGAGAGCTGGGGGTGCTGCCCTGGAGAGGAGAAGGCTCCAGGGAGAGCTCAGAGCCCTTGCAGGGCCTGAAGGGGCTCCAGGAGAGCTGCAGAGGGACTGGGGACAAGGATGGAGGGACAGGACACAGGGAATGGCTCCCACTGCCAGAGGGCAGGGCTGGATGGGATCTTGGCAATTGGGAATTGTTCCCTGGCAGGCTGGGGAGGGGCTGGGCTGGAATTGCCAGAGCAGCTGTGGCTGCCCCTGGATCCCTGGCAGTGCCCAAGGCCAGGCTGGACATTGGGGCTGGGAGCACCTGGGACACGGGGAGGTGTCCCTGCCATGGCACAGAGGTGGAACTGGGTGGTTTTTCAGCTCCCTTCCAACCCAAACCACTCTGTGATCCTCAGAGCCTTTTGCCAGGAAAGTCTCTCAGGCACTGGCTGGCCATGGCTGGAGTTGGTGGATCCTTGCTGGAGCCTGGTGCTGCTGTGCTGGGACAGAAAGCTGCAGCTGTGCATTAACCATGTGCAAGGTGCAGTTATTTTAGAGGCCCATTCAGCTGCTTCCCTTCACTTCCCAGAGCCTAGGGGAGGGAACACCTGAGTTTTTGCAGGATGGGCTTTGTCAGGCCCTTGGGAGCTGCTGGCAGCATTCCTGCTCCCTGCTGGAAGGGGATGCCGGGGATGAACTCTGGCATCAGTCAGATCCTCTCCCCAGGCCTGTGTCCTGATTAAATATCCCCAAATTGCCATCCTGCATCATTAAACACTGCTGGTCTGCCTTGGGGTGATCCCAGTGCCCCCCAGGCCTGATCTCAGGGTAATCCCTGCCTGCTGCTTTGTCACAAATTGGAGGGTTTAGATCCATTTCAGAGCTCCTCAGGGACTTTATTCCAACACCAGCTGTTCTCGTGCTGCAGCTGAGGGTCAGTCTGGAGCTTCTGGCTCAGGGCTTTGCAGATGCACAGCATGAGGGAGAGAGCAGCAGAGGAGGGTGGAAGACAAGTTTGGGAACAGGAGGGTGTGCAAGGAGAACTGGGAAGCAGGAGAGTGTATGAAGGAATCAGCAGGAAGGGGTGCAGTGGGAAGTTGGGGTGCAGAGGAAATTGGGGAGCAGGACAAGATGCAATGGGAAGATGAGCAGGATGGGGTTCAGGAGAAACTGGGGAGCAGGAAGGGGTGCAGTGGGAAGCTGGGGAGCAGGAGGGGGTGCAGAGGACATTGAGGAGCAGGAAGGGGCACGGAGGAAGTTGGGAAAGAGGAGGGGGTGGTGAAATCTTTCGGGAGGTTGTGCAAGGAGCCACATCTTGCAGGAGGGCACGGACCTCGTCCTGCTCCAGGGAAGCTCCACTGGGCTCTCCTGCAAAGAGCTGGGAGTGTTTGGGTGCTCCAGTGCTCCTGTCCTGGCAGGCTGGGGCTGGTGGTGGGCTGAGGCTGTGGGGATGGTGCTCATGGCTGGTTTAGAAACCCAATTTTTGGGCAAAAGTGCTTCATCCTTCCAACTTTTATTAATAAAGAACAATGAAATAATGGAATGAGAGCAAGAACTCTCCTTCCATGACTTATCCAGTGTTTTCCAGCCTTGGATTTCCATGTTGCTGCCCCTCTGCTCCAATTCCTGCCGTGCTCTGTGCCCTGCCCTGCAGCTGAGGGCTGGCACTGGTGGTTAACTCCTGCCTCCTGAGGCACCGTGCCCTTTCCAAGCAGAACAGGCCCAGAAAGGCTCGTGCTGCCCTGGTGAGCACCAGGGAGGGCATTCCCACATTCCCACTTTCCTGTGTTGTCCCAGGAGAAGAAGAAGAAGAAGAAGCACAAGGCCAGGCAGTCCTCGGAGTCAGACTCAGACAGCTCGGCCTCGGACAGTGATGGAGCTCAGCCCTGCAGCAAGAGGCCCAAGCACGCCAGGAAACCCAGCAAGGCTCCCAAGAAGAAGAAGAAGAAGCACAAGAAGTAGCCCTGGGGTGAGCAGGGCAGGCTGGGCTGCTGCCACAGCCATTCCCTGGTGCAGCCAGCAGGGACCAGCAGCTCCTGCTCCAGGGACAAGGAGTTTATTTCAAAGTGACATGTGGTGTTGCAGGTGTTGACCTGGCTGCGAGCTGTCCTCTGTCACCTTGGGCACGGGCTGCCCCTTTGTCCCACAGCTGCTGCCAGCACGGGCTCGTGACACCCTGCAGGGCGCCCCTGCTGTGCCACAGCCTGGGCACTGCCAGGTCCCAGCTCCTGTGACAGCGGGGGGACAGCAGCCCTGCAGAGCTTGGGGTGGCACAGCCAGGCCCGCGCCGTGCTGGGGACAGGGTTTGGTGGGACCTCAGCCCCCTGGCACAGAGCTCTGGGCTGCAAACCTGCCCCAGCTCCCTCGGTCTCTGCAAACACCGGGAGTGGAGGAGCAAGGAGCAAATGGGGGAGTGGAGATACTGGGAGTAAACATGGACTGTGGAGTGTTTGCTGCCTTGGAAAGGGATGGAAAATAAATCTCTGCTCTCTCCAGCTGTACTTTGTACCGGCTCCTTTCTTCTGTACCCTCCACACTTCATCTTGGGCAGGGGGAGAACAACATTGGCTGCGTGGAGGAGATGGGAAAGGGCTTTTTTTGGGAAGTTCTGGCTCCTTCCCCAGGTTCCCTGGGGTGGGAAGGGGGTGTGTGGTGAGGTAACCCATAGGAGAAGCCTTCTGGAGGGAGCATAAATCTTGTAACTGGAGCTGAAGGTCAGGGGAAGGGATGGCAGGGGGAGGGTGCCAGGAGCAGCTCGGCCCTGCTGGGCCAGATGTGAACGGGGGAAGGAGCCGCCCCTGCGGCCTCTGGCTCTGCAGGGAGCCGGGAGTGGCAGCTGTTGGTGTGGCAGGAGAGTTGGGACTGCTGCTGCAGCCTCCCCTTACCCTTTTTCCTTCCCTGTGCTTCCCGCTCCGGCTCCCCATGGCTGCCTCCCCCTTTGGGGCCATTTCCCTTCCCAAACCCGCCCACAGGAGCTCAGGACCTTGGTTCCAGGGGAGCCTGTCCCTCTGCTGGGGCTGTGGGGCTCCCTCCTGCCCTGGGGGATCGGCCTGGCTGGGAGGGGCATTCCCGGAGAGCACATGGCCAGCCAGAACTGAAGAACTGATCCCTGAAGCGTGGAGAAGGGGCTGGGATGGGCTACTGGGACCACTGGCCATTAACCCCATCCCTGCCATCCCTGTGGGTGGGCACGTGCCAAAAACTCTTTTTCCCGAGTAAACCGAACACAGAGCTGTAACAACACCTTTATTATTTTTCCATGTGACTTTTCCCACTATCAGTTAAAAAAGAGCCCAACAACAAACCACGAAACCCCCACCCGAGCCCCTCGAGCCCCTGCAGGCGCCGGGCGGGGCAGGGGCGGCCCCGGTGGGGCAGCGGCTCCGAGCCCAGGGAAGCCGTGCCTGGCACGGGGCCAGGAGGTAGGGACGATGTGGCACCGGGTGACAGGCAGGGGACCTGGGACAGCGTCTATGTCGCCTTCTCGTAGGTGCGGGTGGAGACGACGTTGCCCATGGTGAGAGTCTGGGGACAGAGAGGTGGCGGGAGTTAGTGCTGCTCTGGCCAGCTGCGAGCTGAGCTGTTCCCACTTCAAACCATTTCTGGGTGGGAACGTCAGATTAAAACCAGGCAGAGAGGTGGGGGGGAGTTAGTGCTGCCCTGGCCAGCTGCGAGCTGAGCTCTTCCCACTTCAAACCATTTCTGGGTGGGAACGTCAGATTAAAACCAGTTCCGAGGTGGGAACGTCAGAATAAAACCATTTCCGAGGTGGAAACGTCAGAATAAAACCATTTCCTTACCAGAACTAATTTCCCATCCTTCAGCTCCCGGACCAGCGATGTCTCCTTCCCCTCCCACTTCTGCACGTGGACGAGTTTGCCTCCATCCAGTGTGACCAAGGACTGCAGGGAGGGATTGAGACCCACAGTTACTTTCCTCTCCGGGGTTTATCCCTCAGAGGGGACCCTGGAGCCTCGCAGGGCTCGGGATCAGCCTGGGGGTGCTGCTGCAGGGATGCCGAGCTGGCACCATCCCCGCCTGGCTGGGTCAGCCGCGCTCAGCCCGGCCTGGATCCTGCACTGGCTCACGGCCTCGGCTGTCCCCCTGTGACCCCAGGTGCCACCGTCACGGTCACCCTGCCCTCCGTGCCCCGGGGCTCCCAAGCGCAGTTCGCCGGCTCCGGCGGGGACCAGAGAGGCGGGGCAGGGATCGGGGCTGGAACCGAAGCTTCCCTGCCCTGCAGGGCCCGCCGAGAGTTTTTGGAGCGGCTGATGCAGCGAACGCGCCTGTGCTCGCCGCGCTGCTGTTTGCACAGCGCTCTGCTGACTCAGCCCCGAGAGCCCGGCCCGTGCCAAGGTTACTGTGACAGCGCCGGCCACAGCACGCAGGGCGCGGTTGTGCCGGGACAGGCACTGGCACCAGCACTGGCACCGCCTGCCTGTCCCCATCCTGCCCTGTGCCCCCCAGCCAGCCCCTCCTGAGCCGGGGGCTGCCCCTCGGGTGTCCCCATGGCTGGGGTCTGTCCAGAGCTCAGGTGTGCCCCAGATCCCCACAAGGCTCTGGGTGCTCCCTCAGACCCCAGTTCTCCCCATAGCTGGGTCCCCCCCACTGCTCAGCTGTCCAAAAGTTTGGGTACCCACAGGGTTTGGGTGCCCCACAGCCAAAGGGCAGGGATGGATGGAATACTGGGGAGAAATTCCTCCCTGGGAGGGGGGGAGGCCCTGGCACAGGTGCCAGAGCAGCTGTGGCTGCCCCTGGATCCCTGCAAGTGTCCAAGGCCAGGCTGGACACTGGGGCTTGGAGCAGCCTGGGACCTGGAAGGTGTCCCTGCCATGGCAGGGGTGGCACTGGATGAACTTTAAGGTCTGTTCCAATCCAGACCATTCCATGCTACCCTGGGTACCCCACAGCTCCTGGCACCCCACGGCTGACCCCATCCTGTCCAGCCCAGTGCCTCGGGCACCCGTCCTGGCCCTGCTGCCCATCACGTGCCCTCTGGCCCGGCCGAGGGACACCCCAAGGGCACGTCCCGGGCCGTGGCAGGAGCCCCAGGCCGGTCACACGTTCCTGCTGCTTGAACAGCGGCCAGGAGCTGGGGCGGGAGGGAGCGCGGCGGGGAGGGAGCTCACGCTCAGCCCCTTCCCCCAGCCTCACTCCAGCCCAGCCCTTTGTGCTTCCTGCTCTGGGGCCACCAAAGGGTTTTGTGGCCAAAGAGCCCCCAGGTTCCTCCCGAGGTGCCCCCCACGCTGGGTGTGGGGCACAGAGCTGCCAGCTGCTGCGTGCATGGAGCGGCAGCTGGAATCTAGGAAAAATCAGGAGCTGGGCCATTCCTGCGAGGGAAAATGTCCCTGCAGGGTGGGAGAGGCCAGGAAAGTCACCGCTCTCCCTCAGGTGATTTTTTCCTTGCTCTTACAGGGAGGAGCAGCCTGGCCTGGGAAGTTTTGAGCTCCCCAGGGAGCCGCAGCCCTGGGATGAGCCCTTGGAGTGGCACCGAGCAGCTGGCATTGTCCCCGTCTCCATCCCTGCAGCCCGGCCTGCTTGGGAGGGCAGGCACAGAGGGGAGTGGGCTCAAAAAGGAGGGGTGGTGCCCCTCTTCCCCCGGAGCAAGGACACTTCCCACCACCCCACCACGGCCGCCGGCCTCCTCTTGAGCAAGCTGGCACCCGCCAGCCCGGCTCTTGCTCAACCTTCCCGGCAGCTCCGTCCTGCCCCGGGGCACCCGCGCTGCAGAACTGATTCGGGGGGGCTGTCTGGACAGGCTGGAGCAGCAGCCCCGGCGGGCACAGAGGTGCTCCCCTCGCACAGGCGGCCAGGACGGAGCCCAGGGGCTGACGGAACGATCCCCCAGAGCCCACAGAGCCTTTCGGGGGTGCCACGGGGCGGGGCGGGGCTGGGGGGCTCACCTTGACGTGCCTGTCGTCCGCCGTGGTCTCGTCGAACTCCTCGCCCAGCTTGAAGGTGATCTCGGTGTTCTTGAAGGTGCTCTGGGTCTTCACGGTGACCTTGTCGCCGTCCAGCTCGATGATGGTGGTGGGCTTGGTGAAGCCGGCCACCTGCCGCGTGGCGAAGCCCACGCCTGGGGACCGAGGGGTGAGGGCGTGCGGCGGGGCACGGTGCAGCCGCCCAGCCCCGGCAGCGCCCCCGAGCTCTTCCTCCCCGTGCTGGTGGAGGGTGAACCCCAGAACTGCTGCTCGTTCATGCTCCTGGGGGGCTCCCTGCGCCCCCGGGGCCGGAGCAGAGAGGGGCGCCCAGGAGGGATGGATCTGGACCAGCACCCACCCACCCTGAGCTGGGTGAGGGGGGACTGGTGTCTGTCCCCCCTTCCCCGCCCTGCTCTGAGCCGGGGGACTCCCCCTGACCATGCTGCGGCTGGCTGATGGGGGGCTCGGGGGCTGGGGAAGGCTGGGGGGTCCTGAGCACCCCAGCACCCACGGGGGGCATCTCATCCCTCCACCCTCTGCCAAAGGCTGCCCCCGGGGGGGGCACGGGAAGGACGCGACCCCTCACCCAGCATGAGACCCCCTCACCCAGCCCAGCCCCACGTGCACAAAACCCCAGAGCCCCCCTAAACCACCCACGGAGGCAGCAGCGACCCCTCCTCTGCCTGCAGCCCCCAACCAGTCCCCCGTGGTACCTCACGTGCACAAAAGCCCAGAGCCCCCCCTAAACCACCCACGGAGGCAGCAGCGACCCCTCCTCTGCCTGCAGCCCCCAACCAGTCCCCCGTGGTGGGGCGGGAGTTCACCAGGCAAACTGGGGGGGCAAAGAAAAAAAAAAGGGCTGATGTGACTGCAAGCCCGCTCCCAGCCGCGCCCACTCACCCAGCGCCTTCATGTACTCATCGAAATTGGTGGTGTCCACCAGCTTCCAGGTGCCCACGAAGGCGTCAACCATGGCGAGGGGGCGCGGGGGGGCCGCAGACGCGCGGGGGTCCGGCCGGCTGCGAGCGTGGCACCGCCTGCAGCTGCTCCGGCCCCGCAGCCGCCTTAAATAATGTCCTCATCACATGATTGGAAAGAGCACAACGCGCTCCAGAAATACTCCCCGGCAGCGCTGCCAGCGGCCACCCCGGCCCGGCCACCCCCCCACGGCCACCGCCCCCCGCCCCGACCCCCGGGCTGGGGCAGGGCTGGGCACAGCGACAGGGGCACTGGCGTCGTGAGCTGTGCCCGGGCTCTGCGGGGCACGGCGGGGAGGGGGGAGCTGAGGCGGGCACGGGGGTTGTGTGCCCAGCCCAGGTGGTCCCGTGGGTGAGTGGGGAGGGGCAGGTGCTGCCTCTGGGCACGGTCAGGGCGTGGGGACAGCGACAGTGGTGATGCCCTTTAGGGACACGAGTGGCGGAGACAGGGGAGCTGAGCTGGGGAAACCGAGGCACGGGGAGCAGGGAGCTGAGCTGGGGAAACTGAGGCACGGGGAGCAGGGAGCGCCGGCAGGGGTGTGGGAATACATCTGGGGACTCCATGAGCGTGTGGGAACATGTGTGACACCCCCTCAG